GTGTCACATCCATAGGTATTTTACTGTATTTTTTGCCTTACTAGTCCAACGCTAAATATTTTACTGTGTTTATTTTCTTTTCTCGTGTAGCATAATATCTCACCCTTCAATGAAATTGTTTTTTAAAATGTGTTGAACTTTTGGAGCCACAGCTCCTGGTAACTTTTAGGCGAGCTTACTACAATTTCTAATTTATTAGGATAATTAATATTTGTATTAAGGGATATTGCTTATTTTATTGTAATATTGTTATACGTCATAACTTTTTTTATGAAGTTGTTCTGCAGAGTAAAATTCTACGCAGTTTTTAAATTTAATGTTTGGTGTTTCCTTCAGCCATTTTTCTGTTACATTTAAAAGCCAGATGAAGGCTGGCAGCGAGGCTGCTAGTCTAATAATAAAGCCAAAGCACCTTTGACTTTAGTACCAATTTTTGCAGAAGTATTTCCAAAAATTAACTTCAACACATGTGTTCCTTTACCAATAACACCAAATGGCAATAAATTTGATTACAGCTATTTGTTTAGCTTCAAAATATCCGGATGCTGTACAAGTTCCTAATATTGACACATTGTCAGTAATTGAAGCCATGCTACAAATATTTAGTAGAATGGGTTTGCTGAAAGAAATACAAACTGATCAAGGTACTTCCTTCATGACCAATCTAGCTATTGAATTTGTTGAAAAATTTGGAATAAAAGTAACTGGAAGCTCAGTACACCATCCGCAAAGCAACCTTGTTGAAAGATTTCACTGAACAATCAAACAAATTTTAAAAGTCTTATGTATCGAAGCAACCCGCAACCCCTGAGTGGGAAAAGCGAGTTCCCACACCTCCATTTGCTTAGGGAACAAAAACGCACGAGAGTACGGGATTTACACCTGCAGAATTAGTATATGGCCAAAATCTTAGAACACATGTAACATTATTATATGAACAATGGATGAATCCTGAAGACAAAGGAAATAATGTTGTTGAATACGTTTTCCAACTGATAAATCGGTTAAAAAGATGCAAAGAGCTGGCTTTGGATAAAACGATGGAAATGCAAACAAAAAGAGAAGTGTAGTATGATTGTAAAGCTATCAAAAGAGAATTTTCTGAAGGAGATTTAATTAGTTGTATCAATGAGTAAACCAACTAGACTAGCAGTTGAATGTAAAGGTCCTGGGAATGTTGAAAAAAATTATCCGAAACTAATTATGTTGGGAGTTTAAAAGAAAAAAAAAAAAAAAAAAAAACATAATCAAGTCTGCCATGTTAACACCTTATCATAGGTGAGCAGAATCGGTTAACCTTATGATCACAAAAGACCAATCTGTAATTGATGATATGGAGGAAAATTTCCCAACAACTGATTCTGAACCAACATTTTTCGATTTTGAGGAAATCAAAGAAAACAGTTCCTTAAATGATAAGCTAAATGAACAACAAATTCAAGAACTGCAGGATCTGCTATTGAAATTTTCAAAAATCTTCTCTATTAAGCCCGGAAAAGCTCATTTATAATGCATGATATTAATTGACAAGAAAACACACCGATCCACTGTAAACTACACAGAATTTCTTCTAGACAGAAATTAAAAACAGAAATTGATAAAATGCTTCAACATAAAATAATTGAAATAGGAGATGCTCAGAGATCTTATATCGACTATAGAAGATTTAATAAGTTGACTAAAACACAATTCATCCCCTTGGCTAATACCAAACAGCGAGCGGAAGCTGTAACAGGCACAATATATATAACTCTTTTGGATTTAACAGAGGGATACTGGCAAATACTGTTAACACCTAATGCCCAACGATTAGCCACTTTTGTTACAAGTTTTCACACATTTAGACCTCTATGGATGCCTTTAGGACTTAAAAATGCGTCATTTTCATTTAGCAAAATGATGGCCGAAATGTTTAAAGTTGTTATTCTGAAAGTTTTACCAGTTAGTAGATGACTGAAAATTTATCAAGAAAGAAATAGTAAAAGTAGGCTAGAGTGTGATGCTGTAACGGATAAAATTGCATTTTAAATTATTTACCTCTGTGAACTGAGAATAAAATTCATGTTTTACTAAGAAGCTCATGTGTTATTTCGTTAAATACTGCAAAATACGTTACAATACAAAATGTGAAAACCTCCACACTTTATTTATTTTCTCCCTATATTAAAATGCTCTGTTTTCCCTAGAACACAGGTTTACTCCTTGTACTAGCACACATGTTAAACTAAATTATGAAAACAAAAATTCACATCATTATTTGTCATAAATCAGGGTTGCACATGTAGCAAGTTCTCACAGGTTCAATGATTGTGCAATGGCAGGAATCAGTGTAGCAAATTTTGCAAGGTTCATTTTTATAATCATTGCAATGAACTAGAAAAGCATAATTTTAATGCAACTGTTTAACATGTTCTTTCATGTATTCTTCCCTTTGTTAGATTGCAAAATTTCTTTGAAGAATAATTTGTCTTGTTACAAGTGCATAATTGAAAGATTTTATTATTCATATGAGCATGTTTTACTTAAATCACATTTAAAAAAAAAAGGAACAATGTAGTACTTTCTTAAATGTATAAACTTAAACTATTTAGTAATTCAAAAACAGAATGTTCCATACCATACGTTACCAGCAAATAATAGGCCCACAGCACCGTACTCATAAAACACAAAATACCACCAATATTGTATTTCCAGTCACCATTAGGTGCTCGTTGTTCAGCAAATGTCAAGCAAAAGCTGTGCCTGTACACTAAACAATAAGATTTGAATAATAATAAGCATCTGTAAATTATAAAATTATTTTTTCTCTCAATTTCATTTCAAAATTTTTAAAAAATTAACAATAGAATAAACAAATCAAAAATAACAGAATAAACATTCCAAAAAGTATACTACATGATCAATTGAAGAAGATTGGGTATTAAGTTCCTATGAAGTATGGGTATACCGTATTTCAACAGAAAAGACTGTGTTTCCTCGAGTTTTGGCATGTGGTTTGGTTTATTTGATTATGGCAAAGTATTCGAGGACTATCTGCCTAAGGCGTGGGATGCTTCCATGGAGGACTTTCTAAGAAAAACTAGCTTATTTATAAGTTACACATTCGGGAAAACTATGAAAAGAATCATGCAGCCAGCTGTTTGCTGGAATTCGAACCCCAGACTGAACTGTTATCCTTCTGTGATTTTATCACTCGGTCGCTGGTGGGCCTGTTTTGGTCCTTGATTCATAAACAAAAGCCCCTTTCTCTAAAGTGGCTTATTTCTGGAGATTAAAAGTATAGACAATAATGTTACAATAAAAAGATTACAGGTAAGTCAAAAGAACTTAACAATATCAAGATCATTCATTACATATTAATTTAATAATATCAAGAGAAGGGCTGCATCTCTAAAAGACAACAAGAGAAGGGTTGTGTATGATGGGACTATAAAGGAATTATGTACTATGAATTATTGTCACAAAATCAGACAAATTTGGAAAAAAAAATAATAATAATAATAATAATAATGCTCTCAAATGGCAGCTTTTTTTAGCAGAATTTGAAGTAAAGTATTCAGAACTGATCAGTCTTTGAGACGCTATTTTCCATTATGATAATGATCTACCCCACATTTTGATGAATATTACTTATTGAGCATATCTGACATGTTTTGCGTCACCTCCCACATTCAATAGATCTTACCCTCTTCAATATTCGTCTTTTTAGTTCACTTTAAAATTCTCTGAATGGCATGGAGTTAATTTCCTTAGAGATTGCCAAACAGCATGTTGATAACCATACAAATAAATCTATTGACTCCACTTTTTTTTATTTTTCAGCTGCTTGAGAGATGGAAAAAGTCATAAAATAAAATGCTGCTTAAGTGATTCAATGAAAGTTCATGTTTTTATATTGCTTCATTCATATTTATCATAATAAAACCACAGAATTTTTTGGATGACCCAATATTTTAAGCTTCTGCATACATAGTAGTGGCTGTATTATTATTACTGCTATTATTATTACAGAAGTATCGAATAATGAACTTTTGCAAATTTTCCATTTTAGATATATCTCTAGTTCCAGGTCATACATTCCAGGCTGCAAAAAAGAAAATATATGCACTCGAAAAAAAAACTGAGCCACAATTACTAAACATCTCATGCAAATGTGATTTGGCGAGTAGTGTAAATGATAATATTTGCAGCCCCAATTGGCCTTGTGGAGTGATACAGCACACATTTGGTAGAATGTATAAGGGCAAGTGCAGTGAGTGACGAGCATTTACAACCATGCTGACGGTTTGGGCACATTACACTGTAACAAAAGAAGCCTTTAAGACATACTCGACAGCACTGTTGGTTGAACACGTGGATCAGCTGGCATACTGGTTGAAGCAATATGGTCATAGTCCCTTGCTTGAATCAGTGGCTCAGTGAAGGCATGTCAGCTACTGTAGTGGCTCAGGACATAACTGGGCCACCAAAGAGAAAGATGATTGTGCAATTAGAAAAAGCTGTCATGTCCACACCAACAGTTACGTTATCAACAATTCAACACCATTTGCCAACATGCAGAGATCACACTATATATCCAGGGATACAATTCGCAAAAGACTAGGTCACGATGGGCTCAGATCTCGACGTCCATTAAGACACTTGCCATTGACACTCCACCATAAGCAGTGCCGTCTTGCACGACGCTGCTCTCAAGCTAGACAGTGTCCAGTTACAGAAATGTGATCTTTAGCAATGAATGGGACAAAATGCAGATGTTAAAGCCATTGTGAATGATTACTAAGGAACCAACAGGATTGACCCATTGGTGTGATATGATTGGTCACCTACATCAACAAATAAACTAAGTGTAGGTACAGAAAATAATGTTGTTAATTTAAATTAACAACAGAATTTATTTCATTTTTGTGTGTATAAATAAGTTGCTATTGTATACTGCAAATGATGGCATAGTACATAACCTAATTTTTTATATGTTTAAAATAAAGATAGTATTATCAAAGTATGTATATACATTAAGATATACTCGACTCGCTTTAAAAGAGGGTTTATGCATACTCATTAACATGCTAAAATGAAACTGTATTGCCATGCTATATGATGGATTCTCAGATTTTCTCATTATATAAGAGTGAAACAGTATTGTAAGCAATTGCGTTATCATGAGCTATTTTACCCAAATCATCTCAATGAATTAATCATGGCCAAGAGGAAAACAGCATATGCTATTGGCCAAGGCCATACTACAGGTGTAACAGGAGAATTTTACTTAGTTCAATTACAATTCTACAGCAGAATAACACAGGCAATAAAATTCCAAAGATCTAACCCATCCTCCATACCACAAATTTTTCAAGGAAGCTTTTGACTCAATCACACCCCAATGTCATAAAGACAATATTCATTTACAAACATAGTCTTCTGGAGGATTTGAACACAGATCCAATAATATGGCAGTTGATACTACTAATCACCATACCAATTAGGAAAGCATTAGCAATTTAATACAAAGTGAATCTGAACAAGAGTGCAAAACCTTAGGGGGAAATAAAAGGCAGCTATATAAACAATATTTATCATAGAATGTATGGTCGGAAAGCAAAGAGTGAGAAGTTACAGGGTAGTTTTCCACTGTCATATTTAAAAGAATTAACACAAGAATGAGAGGAGATACTTCCCAAAACATCTTGTTAACAGAACATGCTCATAGAAATCGCTCAAAAGAACTTCCACCAGCTAGGGGTTGGTGCACATTTGTGAATACGCCAGGTTTTTCCCGAATATTGCCAGCAATAACTGTGATTCTGGTGACTAGATCCATATTATTTTCAAAGGGGCACTTGTACATAAGGCTTGCCATATGGCCCCACAGGAAAAGTCCAAACACAAGAGATCCGGTGATCTTGGTGGCCCAGCTATGGAATCACCTCGACCAATTTATCGACCTGGAAATTTTGTGGTTCTTATAACCACAAAAAAGTCACTCATCCACGGTAGAAAATGTCATTGGGTTAGAGAACTGACTCTTTTTATACCAGTTATTACAATGCCACCTAGCGGCTTGCTGTTTGAGTTGAGTTCCAACCATACATTCTATGATGAATATTGCTTGTATAGTTGCCTTCTATCCCCCCTTAAAGTTTTGCCCTCTTGTTCCGATTCATCCTGTATAATATAGCCTTCCAGTCTTATTAAATATTAGAAGGGCCATAAAAATATCTATAAAACTTCATTAAAATATAAATCATGAATTTTTTTCCTTCTCTTAACAGTATCATATAGTAAAAACTATAAGAAAAATGTAACCCCCCCCCAAAAAAAAGTTAAAACAGTTCTTTAGGGCAAAGGCTAGACAAAAATAGCAATTGTAGTCTCATTTATCAGCATATACAGTCTTGTGGTTCTTGCTAAATACCAGACAAACCTCAGTTTTCTTTATTTTGCAGGTGTACATAACATTGATTAGACCAAATATATACTTAGAGCTTGGAACTAGGATTAGTATCTGTTTTCATAAACAAATGAGATTGTTACATAATGACACCCTCCCATTGCATAGCATGGCATATCCAAGATTAAAAGGTTCACTTCACTGCAAACAGAAATGGTGAATAATAAATTTTAAAAAACAGATATGGATACCTATGTTGGTACTTCTTGATTATTTACACTCACTCTGAAAAGCTTCAGATGTCGCCAACAGGTATTTATGTGGCAACCAAGTTTTGTGTATAGCACAAAAGGATGTGCACTTTCAAGATTCAATGAACATTTTCCCAATAAGTATTTCTTTTTGCATTTAGTACATTTGTTTTCATTGTTAACAAACTGATATGCAACTGTGGAGTCTGCCTTCTTTTGCATTCATTATAGAGTTATACACTGAAGTTTCCCCTATTCTTGGATGATTGTGATCATGATCAGCATGTAATGGCAAGGTTATATGTGATGCCAAATTTGTGGAATTCATTTTTTTTTTTATTAAAGAAAACAGATTTCTACATACATGGGAAGAACAACAATGAGAAAAAAATTACAGGTGTAAGTGAGTAGGACAAAAGACAATTTATCACAAAATCTGATGTGTACACCACCTGACTCCCTTGTACGGAATATTAAATTATACACATTTTTTCTTGCATTTCATTTAAACTTATTGGATTGAATTAAATCTACTTTGTCAATAGTGCATAAACCACAATAGAATAAATGCACTCTTCAAAATTCACTATATTTGTTTACCATAGCGACACTCTGGCGTTAAGTTCACTTACCAGCATTATATTTCGCTTCTATTATAACTCAGAATGCACAAAATTTATATCATTTGAAGAATTATCTAATCATAGTCACATGTTCTATTCAAATACTATAATAAATCTAGAACGATGTATAAAAGAAATTAAGCAAACAAAACAAAATTGAACAATTTTTCACAGATGATTCCATATTTCTCATTCAATTAATTCAGTTCTCACTTCGCAACAAGGCAAAAATACATAAAAACTCAAAATATCTATATTAAAAATTTTGAAGTAAATCTTAAAACACATATTTTCTCGAAAAATTTCAGAAAAGATTAAGCATGATTTAATTCACAATAATAAATAAAGACGTTATCTTTGTTGTTGCGAAGCTCAGTCTCTCTATATTGGCAACAAATCTACTTTTCTGCTGTTTCAAATGTAAATAAATGTTCCCCCATGTTATTTAAAAATTAGGTTTAACTGCACTTAAACAGCTTTGAAA